CATTTTGGACACATTTCTTTTGTGTGTCAATAACACCACTGCATTCAAAACTGAAGCCTCACTGCTGGGAATTGAACGCAGGTGCAGGGTTAATTGAGCGCTACTTCTTATCCACCATCAAACAGCTATTGGCAGCTTTAATCCTAAAATATTGGTAACAACATTAAAATCATCAGACAGGTCACAGGTGGGAAAGACTTTATAATTTAATCTCCTTAATCACCAAAACTCAAGACGGACAGTGTTTTCTTCAGTGCTGTCTGATGTGGTTGGCACGTGGAAGTGACATCTGCGGCACTCACGATGATAAAATGTGTAGTTGATAGTAACAGGAAATGGAAATTCAGCCATGAAAACAATCTTTCTCTTTCCCCAACAGATTCTGCAAAAACTTCTCATTTTACTTTCAGGCTTTGTTGCTGCCAAGCTTTGTTTATCTGAAGAAAACCCAGACAGGAGAAAACCGTGACAGAGGAAGACAGATAACTTCATTAGGGAGTGAAGGAAAGCGAGGGAGAATTAAAAAGATAAAGACAGAACAGGAGAGAAAAGGAATGTCTTACACTTTATCTTTGTCTATCTCACCTTTCTTCTCTCTCTGCTTTTTCTTTGCACTTGTTTTTTTTCCCATTCTCCTTCTTTACCTTCTCTCCCGCATTGCCTTGTTCCTACATTTTTCTTTCTCCTTTCTCTCTCTCTCCCTTTCTTCCTACTCAATCTTTTTAAGAGGTAGAGACAAGGTCGAGAGCGACAAACAGAGGTAGAGAATGAAAACGAGATAAGAAGCCAGATGGCGAGTCTTGCTGTGTGTTGCAGCAGTGTGTAATGAAGAGCCGTGCTTCTCTTTCCAACCTGGTTAAGTTAAACTAAAGGGAACAGAGCAGAGATCACAGCTGGCCGTCCACTCTGTTCTGTTTTCTCCATAGCAAAAAAATCCTGTCTTGGTGTTGAGCATCATCTGTGCAATTCAAAAAATCCCAGAAGTTATTTATAGTCAGGAATCAAGTTAGACCACCAAAACATGGCTGTAATGTTGAATAATGTGATGCATAATAAGCAGACAAACAATGTTACTTTAGCTTCTTTATACCGCTTATTATCAAATTGCTTGTTAAAAAATGTTCACACACAATCACAGCTTTAAGGCTGTATGTGAGTCATTTCATAACACTAATGTCCAACAGACTTGGATCAGATGTTAATGGAGCTTTAGTGTTCCAGCTCTACAGTACAAAGTCAGTGCAAATTTCAATAGCCTGACTGAGCTTTCTTGCTGAAACCATTGATACTCAGGTACTAATCACGACTAAAAACAGCTACTGGATTAAATACTTATTTGCAACAGTATTGATATCAAGAGTGGCGCCTCTGCCTCCTCCAGCTGACATACAAACACATAAACAGTAGGCAGTAATTACTGACAGTCACACTAGCAATCTATTATTATTAAAGTAGTACGACTAATAGACAGTGTTCATTAAACAGGATAATACAGTTATATGTGTCTACAGTGTTATGTTTCTCTTTAAGTACCAGATTGAGGAAGGAAAAACTCTCCCAGCCACTAACGACAGCCTTACCAACTCTATTTGATCAGCAATGAGACATGACGAGCGAGGGACAACCTCTGACAACCTCACAATATTGTTTTTTCAATTTGTTGTTATTTTATTTTATTCTTTTGGGCTGTACTTATGTTACTGTATTTTTTGGCACTATGTCAGACAACTTAAGTACAGTCCTGTGACTGACATTCTTGTTATTGGTGGTTTGGCTGTATTCAGGAGGTCGAGCAGGTCATCCAGTGATTGGAAAGTTGGTGGTTTGATTCCTGGCTGCTCTGTGGCAGCATGCCAGAGAATCCTCAGGCAAGAATCTAACCCAAAGTTGCTCTTCGATCACTGAAGTGTGAACGTTAGATCGACAACACTTAAATAAAAAAGTGCTTGTATGAATGGGTGAACGAGGCATGGTGTAAAAAGAGTCCTCCACGAAAGTAGAAAAATGCCATATAACATCCAGACCAGTTACTATTTTTATCTTTGTATTAAGAAAAAACATTCTTCCCCTGTGGTGTCAAAATGGCATCAAGTAGTCTAAGTGTTGGTACTGGGTTTGATATTCTAGTATTGTACCAACCCTCCCAGTGCAAAGACATCTGAAGCAGATTATTTCCTGCTGTTTGCTGCATGTGAGAAAGGACAGTTGTGGAAAATATCCTGACCTGATTCCCCAGAAGTTGTCCAAAGCAATATCTAAAAACTGCTTGATTTTTGCATTGTGAAAGATTCTGGATGTATGCTCTGAATCATTGACGTTTAAGCTGCAGCAACAGAGTCTTTTGATTAAACTAAACCTTAAGAAGATTAGTTATTTTGGTAATTGATGGTAATTTAGTCCAGTAATACTGGGTCATTTCTGTAGGATGTATTTTGAAATATTATATAACAAAAGTGCTGTATGACCGCAAAACAATCTCATGTAGTGATATGTGAATCGTCTTTACAAAACTTGGGCTAATTTCAATTAATGGCCAAAGGAAAAGAAAACGAGCCACTACAGAGCACAGTGCATTTCCTGTGTCTGCTTTTTATTTTTTAGCGGTTGAATAAAAATATCTCTCGTCACTGCACTACATCGTCTGTTAAAGACTTCATCACAAAAGGGCAGTTCTATAACCTCGTCTTTGATGTTTTCTTCTATATTTGTATTCATAAAAACAGACATCAATCTAGAAAGAATTCAGACAGTAATAGCTGATTTTCAAAGAGCGCTTACAGTGTTGCAGGCTGGGTTTTTGTCTTTAAATTACAGCTGTGTCAACACATCCTTCTACAGACTTGCAGTTCAATCCTTTGAGACTGAGCTGCAACTGCAGGCCTCGTTCCTATTTGCTTTGGAGGGATTACACAAGTCTTCACGCCAAGATTTTCTTTGTAGGATGCGGGGAAAACACCAGCATGCATTATTCTCCTCTGGTGGGAGACTGCAGAGGAGAATAAAGAGGCGAGAACGAGAGAGAAAACACAGAGAGAGGATTTCAGATAGAGAGAGAGCGAGACAATGGAACGAAGGAGATGAAGCGATTCTCTGAAGACTGGGCTTTGTAGTCTGTGTGGTGGTAATTTCGTCTGTGGCTCTCCTCTGTAATTGTCCCTCATGATTAAAACTAGAAAGGGATGGTGATTGGTTCTCGCTCTTTGATAGCTTGCGTGTGTCACGTTTGAAATCTTACAGACTGCTGA